TAGATAGATAGAGTATATATGAACTTAGCGCAAAAGTTAATGAAATTTGTGTTTGGTAGATTATTTATTTCTTGTAACAAAGCTTCTTGGTGAAAAACCTTATCTCCATTTATTGGCAGTCGGGGCGCAGTGGTTTTCCACCTTGGATTTGGCCAGTGGGTATAATCAAGTTCCTGTATCTGAGCAAGATAAGTCCAAAACTGCATTTTGTACACCATTTGGACTCTTTGAGTGGAACCTTATGCCCTTCGGGCTTTGTAATGYGCCAAGTACCTTCCAGCTTTTTATGCAGCTGATGTTTGGGGACCAGCAGTGTCAATCTCTTCTTTTGTATCTCGATGACATCACTGTATAAATGGAGATACGGCACTTACAGTTTGATGAGCAGATCCCACCGACAACYAGCCAGGCAAACAGCTGACACGCCGCAGGAAGAACAAAGTTTTTTTTTTCACCCAGGAGCTGCAACCTGCCTAAATTTAAAGCAGCCTGMCACGCCCCTCAATYAGTGCTGCRCACTTGGCAACACCTGGTGTACCAATGACAAAAACTACACRCCATCTCACCACATACTGTTGGAAAGCCTGTTTTAAGCCTCCCTTTTTAAATGGTGCCAAATTTGTAAGGAACATGCATCTGTGGGATGAGCGGTAGAGCTGAATATGTGGGCTGTGCACGTGAAAAAATAGCCAGACCTTTTGTCAAACAGCCTATTTTGTTGTTATTGACTTTTGTTTTGAGCTTCTGGTCCCCTCGGGTTCTGCCAATCAGGTGCCAAGAAGCATCGTTGCAACAAAGAAATAATCTACCAAACACAAATCTCCTTACTTTGTGTGCTGTTTACCATTGATGCATTATTAGGTTTAGTAAAGGTTGTCATTTGACTTGAGGAAGAACATTCCCACATAGCAGACAGGTGTGGGCCAGATCCGGTGTCAAGCAGGCACTGCTGACTGGCTACTGGTATGAAGTGTTTTGTAAGGATGTGGACCGGGTCTGGCAATGATGGCACTGTTTTTAACATCCCACAACTGCCTCAGTTGTGGTTTGGTTTATGTGGCCCAAATCTGTCAATGCCACAACTAGCCGGGTTGTGGTTTGGTTTAGGTGGTGCTGGCCCATGCTTGGACCACCTCTGGCAAACCACGTCTGACCCACCAAAGGGCCATCATTCTTTGCGATATCTGGGCTGACTGTGAGTGCATTGTGTGGGCCAGAACTGGGCCAGATATATTGTGCTATGTGGGGTTTCTGTGCAACAAAAGGGGTAACTTAAACCAGCTCAATGCACTTAAATCTGTATTGATGGGTGTTCCTTATCTTTTGAACCATCCAGGTAAGTGCGTGACGATTCCTCGTTCATTAGATGGGAGGCTGCAGGTATCCCACAGGAAGGGTCTGCCTCATGTGATCTACTGCAGAGTGTGGCGCTGGCCCGACTTGCAGTCCCACCATGAGCTGAAGGCCCTCGACTGCTGCGAGTTCCCCTTCGGCTCCAAGCAGAAAGACATCTGCGTCAATCCGTACCACTACAGACGTGTGGAGACTCCAGGTACACATTTTATCTGGGTTTCTTTTTGTTCCTGTCTGCCATCTTTGTAACTTGTTTTTATTTCTTTAGTGCTTCCACCAGTTCTGGTCCCCCGCCACAGCGAGTTCAACCCACAGCACAGTTTGCTGGCAAAGTTTCGGAACACTTCCCTGAGCAACGAGCCGATGATGCCCCAAAACGCCACCTACCCTGACTCCTTCCCTCCTCTGCCCTGCTCCTCCTTCTCCTCCTCCTCCCCTGCCTCATCCCTCGCTCAGTCCCCCACCTCACATAGCTACCCCAACTCCCCCAGCAGCTCTGCACAGCCTGGCAGTCCGTTTCACATCACAGGTAGGACAGAAAATAACAGACTTCAAGATTCTGACCCCGGCTAGTATAACGGCATTCAATTTTTTTCCCGCCMTTTCTTTGTTTCGCAGCCGAGACTCCTCCGCCCCCCTACAGCATGATGGAGACAAACTCTCAAGAGGATGTGAAACCAAGCAACTCCACGGAAACTATTAAACTCACGTTTTCTGCTCCGCACAGAGGTAAAGGAGCTTGAATGTAGAGAAAGTTTCAGTGTCGTCTCATTATCCATCACTCTCCTTCCTTCTGTCAGACTTGAGGCCCGTGTGCTACGAGGAGCCCGAGTACTGGTGCTCCATAGCCTACTATGAGCTCAACAACCGAGTGGGGGAAACATTCCATGCCTCGTCCCGCAGTGTCTTGGTGGACGGCTTCACGGATCCATCTAACAACAAGAACCGATTCTGCCTCGGCTTGCTGTCCAACGTCAACCGCAACTCCACCATCGAGCACACGCGCAGGCACATAGGCAAAGGTCGGCTGCACAGATCCCACGAGGCTGATTCATGCTAAAACACTACATCTTACTGGATTTTATACAAAGTTTTAACAAGGGGATGTGTTTTCTTTTTGTATACAGGGCTACACCTGTACTATGTGGGAGGGGAGGTGTACGCCGAGTGTCTGAGCGACAGCAGCATCTTCGTCCAGAGCCGCAACTGTAATTTCCAGCATGGCTTCCACACCACCACCGTGTGCAAGATCCCCAGCGGCTGCAGCCTCAAGATTTTCAACAACCAGCTCTTTGCTCAGCTGCTCGCCCAGTCGGTCAACCACGGCTTCGAGGTCGTCTAYGAGCTCACCAAGATGTGCACCGTCCGCATGAGCTTTGTAAAGGTGACAAGCATCTCTCTTCTTTTTTAGGGTAAATATACAGGGAGTATAGGAAGTTGATCATCTTAAACTGTTAGATATGGACTATATGGCTTTGTAGAGAGACGTTTCTTGAAAATTTGTTCAGTTTTGTACATTAGTGATTTCACTATGCATGGTATACTACACACACACACACACACACACACACACACACACACACACACACACACACACAC